CCCAAAAAATTGGAGGAACAAATATTGAATAATTATGTAACAAGCCTATACATATATACAAATGAGAAAAATCTGTTTAAACTTTTTTTTGGTATTTGAATCATGTGACTTTCAAGTCACTGCGACTTTATAATGTACACACTTTTGTCTACGAAAATTTACTACGATTATCTGTCTTGACGTGTTATAGAATTAAGATTTATGCATCATCTCACAAAAAGGCCATAATTATTTGGTAAAATATCGAAAAATATGGAATATGACTTGAAGGTACACGAAACTCATAGAGGGTTAACAATTATTACAAATTTTCTATATAATTATTGAAGTTTGTAATTTATTTTCAAAGATCTCTATGTTCATCAAATGAAATTTTCAATAATAATTCTGAAACATTGGCAAGGGAAATGTAGCAGCAGCATGGCTTCGAAAACACGTGACATAGGTGTTGCAAATTGTTTTACTAAATGCTTATTAATTTATATGGAAATATATATTATAAACGTATTTATAGAATATAATCAATTATTTTGCTTTTATGTTACGTGCGGTGTACTTTAAGTGCAAGATCGTTATTTCGATTTATCTGCTTTAACCCTAGCTATAAGCGTCGTCTATAGACGACATTCAGTGTGACAAATTTTCTTCAATATTCATTACTCTTAGTTAAATTATTAGTATTCTAATTTGTTATTGTGATTTTTTAAAAAAACTTATTTCTAATTTTTAAATACATTTTCATTGATATTGATTGGAAAATCTTCAAATATTTTGTGTAACAAATACATGTGCTGTTCATTGGCTCCGGAAAATACTCTCGTAGCAAAAAGGTCAATATTCTAAAATTATTGCTTTATTTTTTATAATAGATAATTTAAAATTTTTGTGCACAACGATAAATTAGCTGAATCGAAATGAAATAGCTTATGAGGATATCTCCAAGGCGTATCTTGATATCACAGAGTATTCAGTCTTTTTGTTTCAGAAAACATATTTGTTTTTAATTTAATGTATTATTTGTATGTCGACCTCAGTGTACAAGCGTATCGTATTTCTTATTTCGTTTCTCTCAATCCCTATGACGGGACAAATACAATTTTATTAACTTTTGCAATGCAATGGTGTGACTTAATTTCATTATGACGGATGCCTTTAGGGCAACTCGAATTTTCTTTACCAAGTTTTGAGTGTGTCTTTCGGCAAACTTTCTGCGCAAAGTCCCGAACTTGAATTTGAAAATTAGATGTTTTTCTCTTGACGTTTTATTCAATTATCGTAATGGAACATAGGTACTATATCTGAATGCAATATTTACATAATTTAATTTCTCTGACTTCAGAATTCTAAATGCATGATTTTGAATAAATATGTCTTTGGCTTTTTTATTGATGTTTTATATTATTTTTATGTTTTAAGATGGGCCGAATTTCAATATTATTGCTGACATTTTTTTACTACTTTGTCTGTCTGTTTATCCATTAGTAGAAAAATATTAGATTATATACTTTTATAACTTTTCATTATTTTTACGATGATGGTAAAATAAGGTCGCATTTAAAGGGCTTGCAACAATATCGTTTCATTTAATTTGATCTGAAATCGTTTAAAAACCTTATGATACTCTTTTTTTTTAAATATAAAAAAGTGATTGGCATGTACGTAAATCATTCATTGCAGCTCAACCAAATATATAAATTTAAATTTTCTGAGAATTTTAAAGGTTTTTGTTGATCTCATAAAATTGTTAGCAGGCGTTTTTCGATTAATTACTACTACCTTTGCTGGATTAACATTTGAAAAAAAATAGACGAATGAATTTTAATTTGCATACAGAGGTAAAAACCCATGGGTATACGTATGCATATACACATATTATCATACATAAATATATATATATATATATATATATATATATATATATATATAGTTTTCATCATAGCCAATCTAACATAGAGTAAATAATCCTGATATTATATGGTATTGCCAAAGCAATCTAAGTTTGCAATTTCTGTTTCAAAATATATGTGTGTTTTATTATATACATACTAGTTGTATAAATCTACACATTTTCAATATTAAAATAATAAATTTCAAGAAATGCCTCATTAGAAAAAAAAGATTTGATTCAAGTGTCTACAAATTTGCAATATTACAACATTTAAAATAATTTTTATCAAAAACTTTTGTTTAAAGTTTTAATCATTAGGAATGGTTAAAATTTCTAGTATTGTATTTTTCAAGTGAAATTCAAAATTTTGGTATTGCAATCTATGGTCTATAATTTCAAAAGTTATTTAAATTTTTATCTAATATGATGTTTGTTGAACGATTCAATACATGTTGATATAGCCTAGTGATATTAAATTTTACTTGGATATATAGATTAAACATTTTAACAATATTTGAAAGGAAAATTTCTTACACTCATACTTTCGTGTACTAAAGTTAAAATTTAACTCGGCTCAGAGGCCTGCCTTCGGAAAGAGCGTTCTGACAATTTAGTTTCTAACTTTAATACTGACTTTCTGTGAGTTTGTATTCTAAAAGTGAAAGACGAATTATGACAACCTGCTGTATCTTCATCTGCGGATTTATCTTGATTGTCAACCTTATAAGATGATAAATGAAGACTCTTTATGGGCCAATGCTGCCGTAAAATAGATCAATGTTATGGCAAGGCTATGTTACGTGGCAGTTTTCATATAAAATCGTAATCGTTTTACACATAAAATTAAACCATATCACAAAGAACCTGTTGTCATAACATGTTTTTTTTTACATTTGTGCCTTTTCTAGGTTAGGATTTGTGCCTTTTCTAGGTTAGGCTTTTGATTAAGGCTTACAATACCGGGTTTCTGTGGCCCCGAATACCGGGATCCCGGACGATTTTTGTCCGGTATTCAATACCGGTGTTTTTTCATTGAATGCTTTGATTGAATTTTACTTTACTTTTCGAAGGACCGAATTGTGAAATACTTTATTGATAACTGTATATATTTATTTTATAAGTTATAATAGTATTTACAATAATTTTAACATGTTTTTGATTATGTATTGAATGATTTGATTTTGGTTTTATAATTATCTATTGATGATTTTTTGTTTTCTATCTCAATATACCCGCATGCTTTGATTGGCGCGAACAACCGGTATTGATACATTAATACCGGTATTTCGGGATCACCAAAATTTGTTAAAAATTTAACTTAAGCAATACACATACACAGTTTCCAAACTGTGCATGTGTATTGCGGACTCGGCTCAGCCCAGTATGACACATCTTGTCGATATCGGCAAGATAAAGAGATTATTTATATATTATATATTATATAAAATATGTCGTATTTATTTATATATACGACAGATTTTAATAAACAAAATATAATCTATTAATGGAATTTGTTTTTTTCCTTAAATATTCCATGCGAGTCTATTATATGTAAAGTGTAACATAGAAGTTAATATATATTGTTTACTTTCACGTTTTTTTGTATCTACCCCTATTCTCCATGTAATAAAATAATTAATATGTACTCATTTTAGAACAATAATAATGCTAATATGTCAATATAACAAATTACAAATTTCAAATATCAAATACCGGTATTCAGATTTTAGTACGGTATTGGAAGCTGTACTTTTGATAGTATATAGTACGATTTTATATGAAAACTGCTACATAACATAGCCTTGCTATAACACTGGTCATTTTACGGTAGAATTGGCCCTTTAATTTCCTTTTTGTTCGACTGTGTTTATTTACGATGGCTTAATAACATATTTGTTTGTAAACAATTAAGTCTGTTTTGATGAATTGCTGTAGGTGTGTGTTTTTCACAACTCGGCCTGAAATTATATCCTCGTCTATTTATAACAGAAACATCGCGGTCGCTCATGCGAAAAATTATTATGTTGTTTGTGCATTATTCGTCAGTTCATCGTATACGCAAATGGGCTCTGTTCAAGCACCTATGAAAATAAAAGTAGATGTTAATAAAATGGTAATAGAGTTGTAAATAGTTGAACGTATGACGACTTCGAATTTAATAAAATTTAATAAACTTCATTTATTATTGATTGATTGAAGTTCCGAAAGCTTTTGTGTAAGTTTCATATAGGTTAGAGCGGGGCTTACAGGTCCACGGGAACAAAGGTCTACCACCAATATCTCAAAAACAAGTGAAGTTCGGAATTTGTCAAGTATAATATTTGAAAGTAGAGGGAAAAAGATTACCAGCCATCACTTTGATTCCTACGACGTCGCTATCAGGACATAAACAGCAATGTTATAAATACCATAACAAAAGACTTTTCTTCTGTCGCTGGGGTTGATTTAATTGCATGTATCTTCTTTATTAATTAGACGTGATTCATTATACAAACATAAAGTTCATTAAACTAAATGAACGTCTATCTTTGATTAAATACCTAACTGTAAATATGCGTTTATGGTCTGCCACGTGATATTAAGTTAATCATCATAACTGTTAATTAGTCACAGTTCTTGAAACTATCGACTTAGTCGTAAAAGACAAGCTCAACTAATTTGCAATGCTATTGAAAAGAAACACTTCGATGGGCATGTAATAGAATTTGCTAATCATCGATTGGAAATTATTGTTACTATTTATGCGGAAGTGTAAAACACATATTTCTTGCATATAATTTTATTATCGACGAATATCGAAATTGACATGCATTTAGATTTTATATTTCAGCAGTGTTTAATTTTAGATTACAGGAACTTAACTATTAAGGGGCTCAACTAGTGTAACTGCCTAAAAAAAGGTGATTTTTGGGAATTTATATTGAAAAAAATACTTTATCGACCATTTTAAAATTTTAAGAATATATTTACACATGTTTTAAGAATACATAGTTAAATTTCGGAAAAAAAATTAAATATTTTTTAGGTTATTGTCGATCTCTTCACTGCTGCTGTGATTCCGGCCTTCTACGTAGATGAAATTTAAAAAAAAAATCTCCTTAAACTAGATAATATTGTCTGTAAAATGACCTATGATAAAAAAAATCAAAAATTGACAAAATCGTTTTTGGACTGCCAAAATTCGATTTTTGATCCGGTCAAAAAATCGATAGTTTATTTTACGGAGAACTATATATAGAACATGTAAAAAAAATTTGATAGTGATCGGATCATTTGTTTTTGAGTAATCACTGCAGCAAATTCGGAAATTGCTGTTGCGAGAAAAACGCGTTTAAAGATAAAATGATCGTTATACTATATACTATATATACTCTTTAAATGGCTCAAAAATTATTTAAGATATCGATTTAAAATTTTGGTATGTTGTTTTTAAAGGTATAACCTATCGAAATATGGAAAAATTGAAAATTCGATTTTTTGAAAATTTCACATTAGTTGTGCCCCTTAATATTATTAATTTTTTCTGAATGAAATGAGTATACTTTTCATGAAAATCAAAATGCGATAACCGTAATGATAGTCATTATAAATTTGGTATTTTCGGTCTATAATGAACCAAACGTTTTGTTTTATGTAGAAATGGATTTTATAAAATATTTTAAATTCTAAGCGTTTGATCTTTCATCTGTATAGAATAACATACTTGAATTTTGATTATGTACAGTATATTATTTTTTATGATTATTAAATAAATTGTCAAGAACGATGATTATATATCCGCTTTGCAAACACTACTACTAAAATTGTAAAATGAATGTTTGAATTAAAAATAAATATGAGCAATTAATAATTTACGTCTGAAGTTAGGTTAAAAATAGTTTTCTTTGTTCATATTTATTGGTTTAAAGGATGAATGAAAATTTTGTAAATTTATAAATGATCTTAATAAATCTTCACAAAAATTTTTAAGAGAATAAGTTTTTATAGCTTCTAATTTATTATTAATATTAGGATTCTTTCTTAGTGTGAAAAATTTTATTTACTTGTATACTCCTAATGATCATATTAATAATTTAAGAAATTCTTTTTCTCAAAAGTTGGGAGAATACAGATCCATAGGTATTAACCCTTTCCACTCGCGAATTGCAAAATTTATATGTATTTTGTCTCCGGAGCGGCGGCATCCGAGTGGAAAGGGTATGAAATTTTCATTTTATACCCCTTTTTTTATTTGACACTATCCTGCGATCTGTTTATACAAAAGCGGAGACTGCTAGAAATGTACATGAGAAATATAATACTGATAAGAAATTAGTAGATACATCTATCGACAAATCTTACAGAAATATATTTATACTTTATTTTGTTACAAATATTTTTCAGTTTCGTACTTATAACATGTAATAAATAAATCAATATAATAATTCTTGCCTTTTCTGCAATTTCAGAATGTACCTTTACCGTTACCGTCACCAAAGGTCCTCGCGGACTGGGCCTGAGTGTTTCTGGCGGAACAGATTCCCGTGGAGCCTGTCCAGGCCTGATACGCGTCAAGAGATTGTTTCCGCACCAGCCCGCTTGGGCCACCGGCAGGCTAGCACCAGGTGATCTACTGCTGGCTGCCAATGGCTGCACTCTCACCGGATTATCAAATTATGTAAGTTAAAAAATTATTAATTAATAAATATCTGTAAATAATAAACATTTATGTTTAATTATTAGTAAATGGCAAAGATTGTTAGATCGTTTTAAGGGTGTATTCTAGTGTAGAGCTATGAATTCTAGGTCATTTTTAAAGTGTCGTAAAAGAAAGCAATGAATGTTTTTACTATCTATTTTTTTACAACTTGTTTATTAATATTATTAAAATACAAAACAAAAATAAAAAAATAAAAAAGTTGAAAATTGTAAAACTGGCAGCAGAAGAAGTGGGTGGTCTCAAAAAATTGGCACCTCAGTCTTGACATTATTTCAGCCCTCCTAGCTATCGAAAATGCAATAAATAAAAATATTATTAATCTACAATGATGTCGCAATCGCCCGAACCAGCGATGAGCAAAAATTTACAAATTGGCGACTGTTTGAAAAAAAAGGTGTTTTTTTGTTTCTCGATTTTTTTAAAAATAGTAAAAATTGAAATTTGGGGATAATCCTAGTTTGGGCTATAGATATGTCTATAAACAAGACTCTCTAAACATTTCAAGTGAATCGGTCGATAAAAACTCGAGAAATCGTTTCAACAGTACTGAAAAAGTCTGTTCTGAGAAAAACGCATTTAAAGTTTTGCGTGAAGCCAAACCAGTATGGAGTCCGAGTCCGTAAAATGCCTATATCTCCGAAAATAATACAAATTTTCAAAAACCTTCTCGTACCCATATTCTTAGATAAACTTTGAAAATATATAATAATCCTAGTTCGGGTTATAGATATGTCTATAAACAAGACTCTCTGAACATTTCAAGTGAATCGGTCGATTAAAACTCGAGAAATCGTGTCAACAGTACTGAAAAAGTCTGTTCTGAGAAAAATTGGGCCGGCCGTGGTCCGGTGGTAAGAACGTGTGCTAGCAAATCTTAGTCCCGGGTTCGAATCCAACCTCGGTCGGTTCGGTATCAAAGCAGCTTGATACCAAATTTTCACTTGAAATCATAGATTTCAAATATGATTTCTAGTGAAAATGGTCTTTCGTGGGCATAGCTGTAGTGGCAACATGCCACTTGGAAGTAAAGAGGTCCTAAGATTGAAATACAAAGGAAGTCGAGTTGTATCCCTATACAACAGGAAAGGGCTCTGACATCGTGCAACCATGATTGAGTGCATTTTCAGCTCAACCCACGGACCTGCCCTTGGAAGAAATATTCGTAAAAAGAAAAATGTAATGAACAGTAAAAATATGTAAAGAAAAAGTAAAATATATGTAGTTGTAAGATAAAAAAGAAAAAATAATTAGTAATAAAGTTTTTTTTAAAAAAAAAAAACGCATTTAAAGTTTTGCGTGAAGCCAAACCAGTATGGAGACCGAGTCAGTAAAATGCCTATATCTCCGAAAATAATTCAAATTTTCAAAAACCTTCTCGTACCCATATTCTTAGATAGTTAAACTTTGAAAATATGAAATAAAAAAAAATCGATTTTTTTGAATTTCTACACTAGAATACCCCTTTAAATTGTTTTTTTATAGGTAATAGACTAAAACTAGTTTATGATTTTTTCCTTATATTCCACAATAAAAGAAACTTGCAATACCAGCATGTAAATGACTTTATAAACAAAAGCTTTACTAGGATATTCAACACAAAATTAATAATATTAATTATAGCGAAATATTTAGGCTTCTGGTAAAGACTTTTACTTTTGGCAATGACGTTATTTTAGTAGCTGTCCTATGGTAAATTTTTAGTGCACCAGCCGTTTTATTTTAGGTTTTATATTTATTTTTTGTATTTTTACTCTACTATATATCCCTGACTGCTCCATCATCATAATATTAGATCAAATATTTACTCTTGGTGTCAAAGTGTAGGATGCGTCAACATTTTTATCGCATACTGTAATAGAGCAGAATATACATGAAACCCCCTTGAGATGTTTTTCAACCTATTTTCACCTAAACCACCTGGCTTCGCATCAGAACAACTCACGCAGTCATGCACTTGGAATTATTTTAGCCTAATAGTTACTTTTACCATCTTAACATATTTTGCTATACTTGTATAGTTGCTTCGAAAATTTTGTCATTTTTCATCTAATAATTAGCAAAAACTTACCTTGAAGCACAGCCACTGAAACGAATTAATTTTCATTTCCTTATTTTTGAATTTGTGATTTTTTTAATGGCGAATATTATTCAATAATTTGCAGAAATACTAAATAATTAAAAAGATTGATAATTTCTTTGTTTGTACGGAAAATAATGCTTTTCCCGACAGAGGATTTAATTGGTGCCAATAAGATAGATAGTACTAGCTATCTAGATTTAATAGGAAAGAGTATTGATTTTCAACTAACTTCGAAAAAGTTCAACTGTTTTACTCGTACGCATAGACTTGATAATTGTGCTTGAACATATATACATGTGTTTCTCAGGAACTATCGATAAAACTTTTTGAATTTAATAGATGCCAGACAAGGTGCCAGTTAAATCTAAAGTAATTTATTGTACAAAATCGTCTTATGTATAAGATATTTTAAATGCATCTCGAAAATTTAAATAGATAGTCACTTTTTATAGTGTACGTATCAAATCGCACGGAATATAATTTTAAGAATATAATAAATTATCAATATTAAAATATATTATTTGTAGTTAAACATTTCGATTAATTGCTCTTCAATTAGTTTGTTTTTAAACTAAAATATTAAACATAATTAGTTTCTTTCAATTAATTTGCTATAAACTGCAGCTTTATTTACACTAGATAACACAATTTTTATTAGTTTTTTTTGTTGTAAAAATTCTTACTCCTTCAGCTATTATTGTTTACGATAATATTTTTCAGTAATCTAACATACTACGCAGTTTACATTGAATATTTAATATTATGAATTATTTTTTATTGAATTTTGTTTAAAATGTTATAATATTTTTTTGTAAATGAACATTATTTGTAATTCTGATTATGAAAATAATTAAGTAAAATAATGGAAGGATTTTATCACTTTCTTTTTTTTTTGTATTGAATACTTCGTAATAAAATATTTTGTTTATACTATCATCAGGAGAAATAATGGAATTTTTCACAGCATAAATAAATATAGTCGTATCATAATAACAACTTGTTAATAACAAAAATGTAAGAAAAACTAGTGGTGCATGGCATCGTGCTTTAAAGCAAATTGCCGTACCGTAATGAAATGTTCGAGGAATTTTAAATATATTAAATATATTAAATTTAATTTTAAATAGATTATTATAAATAATCATAACTTTCATTATTCATATTTTATAGACGAAAGCTTTTATAACGTATAAATTAGGCGACGTTTATGTATGTTCACATAAAGACTAAATAAACAAAACTTAAGCAAGCGGGGTTTGAAAATCCAAATAATTTTCGATATTTAATAACAAAATATTTTTTGTTATTATTATATTATAATAAAAAAAATTACCATCGAAATCAAACTTTTTTGTTTTCTCCAAAAACTAATCCTTTTTTCACACTGTCAACACAAGCAAAATGTTTTTCGAATCATTGAAATCGGGTGCTTCATTCTCCCAAAAACGTCATTGTTTGCACTTTTAGCTCCATATCTCAAAAAACGGCTCGAACAATCTTTGTCAAAAACTTATCATAACGTCTCCCATTCATTACAAATTGAATGCTTTTTGAAACATCCAAATCGGATATTTTTTTGTCTGTATTCTAAGATCAGTATCTCTAATACGGCTGAACCTGTCTTTGCCAAAAACTAATTAGCACATCTCCCTAGTGGTAGGAATTCTTTTTTGAATTATTAAAATAGGTTAATCGGTGCTCCCGAAAATGTCGACGAATAATTGTATCCATACATGCACACATATTACACACACATACATACATGCATTTTTTCTAAAATATGCCAAAATATTCAGAAACTTTTGAATCGTAAAGGTATGCAAAAACTTTTTTTATTTTTGGACGCTTACTATAACTTACCCTACCGAAAATTAAAAACGGTACATTTTTATCAAGTATATGCAAATTAAAGCTGTTAGTTCGCCTGTACCATGAACTTGGTGCTGAAAAAATAATCAAATTGACCAAAAATTAACAAAAATAAGATTATGTTTATTTGCTATAAAAATTTTAGTTTTTGGTTCTCGAAAAGTAGTTATAACATAATATCTACGACTATTCTTAAAGCGTACGTTTATTTTCATAGTAATATATTATATTTAATAATTACATTGCAGTAAAAATTGTTTGTCTTCGACACTGCAAGAATTCATTGAATCTTTCAAGTATGATATTAAATCGTTGTCGTTTCCTTTTGATAACGATTTCTTTAATTTATTCGCAGGAAGCGCTTGAGGTCCTCCGTACAGCGCCCGCAACAGTGACGCTGACAGTGTGCCGTCCTCCAGGGCAGGACTTTGACAGGCAGTCCCCAACTCCTAGCGAACCGCCTCCGCCGCCGAGACGAGTTGGAAGTTGCGGAGCAGGCAGCGGAATGGTTGGAATGGGCAGCAGCGGATTAAGCAGCGCCGATATACCGCCGCCTTTGTCTCCGATGCTGCTTGATGGGCCGTACGGGGTAAGTTTCGGATTATCCGACTGTATATAATACATTTGTATATGTATATATATATATATATATATATATATATATATATATATATATATATATATCGTGCCAAACGATCCGATATCACGTTACACTATTTGATTTTATACCAACAGCATAAAAATTCTTTAGCTTTACTTTCACCACAAATATATTGCATCGTTTTTATAGTTCCCATTATCATTTACTTTAAATATTAACGAAATTTTAATATCTAAAGCACTTTCGTAAATATAGATATTATGATCCATCTCACTACAAAAAATCACGAAAAATCACGGGAGGGAGGGAGGTGTATAGTAAGATATCACGTGTATTTATTTTTTAACTGATGTTTTAAAAAATATCAATCATTTTCAAAAAAAAATTAAAAAATTCACAGTTTTATCACGTAACTAAAACTACACGTGATGTTTGAGAGGGGAGGGAGGGTAATTTTGAATATCACCATGTATCACCAAGGGGGAGGGGGGTCCAAAAATCATTAAAAACTAGCTCACGTGATTAATGGACGCCCCCTAAGTTCACTTCGGAATTCGAGATACCCCGCCGTAAGTCTGTAAATACTTGTATATTGACACCTTAAAAGTTGTCTCAAAACCTACATATGGTAGGGTGTAATTACCATATGTAGGTCTTGAGACAACTTTTAGGGTGTCAATATAGAAGTATTTACAGACTTACAGCTGGGTATCTCGAATTCCGAGATTCTTACGTAATTTAAGCTTAAATGACTGGACTAGCAGTGAAAAAAGGCGAATAATATTTTTACTATACGTTTTTTATAAATTATCAATTAATATTTTAAGAATGTAAAATTGAAATTTAAAAACAATCAAAAAGTTTTAATTCTTGCTGGTAATGTACTGGGGGGTAAAAAAATTGGCACGTCACTATACTCCTGATATAGCCTTTCAAATAATCTGATAAAAAAGCTCATTTATCTAGAATAATATCGCATTAGTATGAACTTGAAGTTAAAAATAGAAAAAATCACAAAATACCGATAAAAAAATTTTTTCGATATTCTCGATTTTTTTTAAAAAATAGTAAAAATCGGAATTTGGGGATGATGATTTTGCATTGGTAAGTTTATAAAAAAGACTGTAAAAATTTCAAGTAAATTGGTTCAGTAGAAATTGAGAAGTAGTGTGTATCGTACAGAAAAAATGGTTTTGAACAAAATACATTTGAAATTTCGCAGTGAAATAACAGAGGATTCTCCTATCGGGGGCAAACTACTATATTGTCAGAAATAATTTTAATCTTGAAAAATAAATCCTCTTGTATACATATTTCTGAATATTTTAAACTTTGAAAATATAGAAAAACGATTTCTTAAAACTTTTAGATTAGAAAACCCCCTTAAACGATAATACGCTGCAAGATGTACATACTTCCATATAAGTAATAGCTTTAGATAATAGCTATATTTAATATAACGTAATCGAATCAATTCGATAATTGTACAATGCGAATGAAAAATTGTAAGATCTATATGTAATATAAATCACTTTCAATATTTTTGTGCATTGATTTTATATTATGAAATTAATAACTTATTTTATATTTACGCTTAAGTGGAATCAGTATTATCCAGTGGAAGAAGTAAGTGTTTGATTTATCTATACGAGTAGTTTGCTTTATCATAATATTATCGTAACTTTTTATAATATGTTTTTAATCATTATCGCTGAACATGTTTACAAATAAAATCTATCAACATTAATATTTTCGAATAATTTATTCCCAGGAATTTGATATAGTCATGAAAAAGCGTAGCGGATCATTAGGTTTTACTCTACGTCGTGAAGACAACAGCGTACTCGGTCATTACGTACGAGCCCTTGTTCGCGAACCGGCCCTGTCCGATGGACGTTTACGACCCGGAGACCGCATTCTGGCTGTCAATGGAGTGTCAATGTGCCAACTTAGCCATGAAGAAGCTGTAGCCTTCTTACGAAGGTGGGTAATCGAGATAATTAATATTCAAAAAATTCAAAAATTTACATGGAATTTGTTTGATATATTAACTAAATTCACTTAATTGTATATCACAATAATTAATTCTTTTTTAAATAATGAAAATATTGATTAGGTGTACTTATATGTTATATACGCTTTATTAGGAATACTATGAGAAATATCAATGGTTATGGCGAATTATTAGCACCAAAAGCTGAAAAAAAAACAATTGAGTTCTAATATCTAAATTCTAATTTAGTTCGCTGGTCTATCTTTGGCATCATTATGAGAAAATGATTATTATAAGATAAAATTATCTTTTTCCTGGAATATTTTTTTTTACAAATTTTCAATATATACGAGTACTTTTCCAATATTATTGAATGCAAAGTACTATTTGGTACATAAAATGTCTTCCGACCAAAATGTTCCTAAAATATGCAAGAGGTCTGAATCGATTCTGCCTGGCTAGGTTAAGAGAAGCATACAAATGACTTTTAGGTCAAACGCTGTAAGCCACATTTACGTCTCAAAAGTTTGTAGAAAAGGAGTTCAGAGCATCAATTTTGTAAAAAAAATATATTTTCATAATAAACCATTTTATATAATAAACTTTCATGCGATGTAGAACATATTTCGTATTTGATCCTCAACAATTTCTGGACAGCGGAAATTTCATTCTAGCTATTTATTACATATAAATAATAATTTAAAATACAGAAAATTAATATCTGTGAATTTTGCTTTGAAACCTTGTATCGAGTATCATTCCTTATGACTTTTTGATATATTACATCATTATCAGTTTAGGTCAAACGCTGTAAGCCTCATTTATGTCTCAGAAGTTTGAAGAAAAGGAGTTCAGAGCGTCAACTTTGTAAATATATATATATATATTTAAAAAATTTGAAAATTTTTCCATGCTATTTCCATACAAAACTTTTATTGAATTGCGCTCTACTATCTAAACGTTAATATTAAGAGCTAAAACTTTCAGAGAATTGTTTTTTATCTATTTGGAACCATTTGAGCCCCTGGGAGCAAGGAAATTCGAAAATGACCATTTTAAGGACCATCCTAATCTACATATATATAAAAATAAGTCGGGTTTTCCTTCCTGATGAAATAACTTCAGAACGCACGAACCGATTTCGACAATTTTGCATTCGTTGGAAAGGTCTCGGGCCCCGCAATGTTTATAGCTAAGATTATATATTTGCTCGCTATTCATTATTCGAGCACTATATAAAATCAATCTATTTGTAAATAGTAATTTAAAATAGAGATACTTAATCCCTTTAAATTTTGCTTCGCAGTCTTGTATCAACTATCATTTTCTATGACTTTTTGATATATTACATCTTCATCAGTTTAATATCAAATCAATAGAACGTGTGTAGTGCAGACTGCATCCTAAATTGTTTTGAGAACTATTTTCTCAACGATATTGTGAAAATTCTTTTTCAGATGTGGAGATGAAGTAACGCTAAAATTATATAGAGACTCCGCACAGACTCCCGTGGGAGCTGTCTCGCCTACTGAGTCCGAAAAGAACGATTGCTCAGCGCGGTGGCGGACGGCGAACGGCGACAGCGGAGGACGATCGGCGGTCAGGACTCATTTAAGGTTTGTCTTGAATATTAACAAAACACGAACACGTTAGGTTGCGAATGGAAAATTTTCACGAATATCCGAAAATTTAATTATTAAAATCTCTTCTTCGATAGCTCAGGTTGTTAGGTTATAATTTAACCTTTGTAGCTGTGGACCTTATTGAACACTGATTTGTTATTATATTTTATGTATTTGTTGCAATTCTTATTACACTAATGATTTGACAATAAGTTTTAATTGAAGATTGAAGACTTTACTTTTAGAAGTGAGAAAAATAAGTTCGATCCAAATTCGCTACCCCCTCTACGGCAGTGGTTTTGTCGAGCCCCGGAACGCGTTATATTATAAAAAAAATCGCTACATACAGAAAATGATTTGATAAGTGAATTTTATAATTCATAATTTAACTAATTTTTATTAAACGTTCCTATTAATGTAATAAACATACATATATATGAACATAAAATGGGTTTTGTCATGATTTTTGTTTCTTTTTTCTCGAACGGAACCGGAACAAACATATATGAGAACCGGTTTATTAATTTTAGCGTTCCGGTAAAAAAATATTAGCACAACACCACTGCTGTACGGGGTAGCTCTGTGTAAAAGCTCAATGACATGAAGATTGCCGCCTTCATTGCCAATACAATAAAATGAAAACACGTTTGAACAAATTTTAAAACTTGAAAATTTCAATTTGCCTCGATAATTTATTTGATTTGCTAATGGTGAATTGTTATGGATATATAATATTATATATCATCATGGATGAATTAATTTATTTTAATTTATTGATCACTCGAATTCGTTGTCTAAACAGTGTTTCACCGTTATCGATCTGTCGCAGACATGTTTCTTATCAATAAATTATATACAATTTGGAACTTTAACTAGCTGTAAGTGGAATTCTGTCTTAAGGCAATTAGGGCATCGTGCCTTAAGGCAAATTGCTGGAACTTCCCGTACCAATAATTATTATTTTTTCAAAAACGATTAACATTTTTGAAAAAATTTTATTTCGAAAAATATGATTTTTGAGAAACTTTAAATTTGACAAAAAATTACTTTTTTTTGAAAAAAAAAATTTTTATTTAAAAAAAAAATTTTTTTGGCGAAAAAAAATTTTTTTTTGAAAACAAAAAAATTTTTTGAAAAAAAATGTTTTCTTTATTTTAACATATTTTGGAAATACTGAACTTTTTTTCAAAGCAATCGCACTGCTTGAACTGCATAGAGACGAAATGTTAAAGCTCGCAAGTGCCGCGCCGCCGTCTAACGCATAAGCATTGGTACGGAACCCATAGAAATGTAGAAAAAAATTATACTCATTGTTAAAATCTCTATAAAATATCTGATAATTTGATGTGCATATGTCTAATGATCATTTTTCACCGCCGAATGGCATTTTTTTTTACTTTTTTTATTAGATCTCCGAAACCGCTAGACCTGCCTCCATGAAAATTTGCAAATTCTACATCTTGTCAATACAAGTAAAATGTTTTTCGAATTATTCAAATCGGACGCTCCGTTCTCTTAAAAACGGAGGTACCGCTTTTGGCACTTTTTGCCCCGTATCTTCGGAACGGCTAGACCTGCTTTCGCCAAAAACTAATCAGCACGTTTCCTTATCAATACGAATCGAATGTTTTTTGAATTATTCAAATCGGTTGATCTGTGTTCCCGAAATCGTCGACGAAAATTTGTATCCGCACATACATACACACACGCACATACATACATACATACATACATACATACACACACACACACACACACACACATACATCCATTTTTTCTAAGGTATGCCAAAATGTTCAGAAACCTCTGAAACGTAAAGATATATAAAAATTTTCATTTTCGATTTTTTTGCGATTACTATAACTTGCCCTACGGGAAGTTGATAATCAGAGTATAAGTTAGATTAATAGTTTTACTACTTTTCGGTACAACATTTATGACAAACGATTTAAATTAATATGAGATAATATGTAAATTAATGTTTGTTGTTGTAATATTGTTTTATATTTTCACAATACGCATATTTCCCGCTTTTCACGGAAAATAGGTTTTATATAAAACCGTGTAACTTGAAAATTTTACTCTTATATGGAGAAACCGTCTTAAAAGAAAATTACTATAAAAAGCCCTTTTTCTCAGTTTTAACATAATGAATAAGAAATAAATATTAATATATTTAATATCAAATACATTTTATAAATTATAAGTGTATTAATTTATTTCAAATGAAACAAATATAAAAAAAATAGTCGTACCTTCGTGTTCCTTTTCGTAGATTAAGAATATACATAAACGCTAATTCAAACCAAAGTTCAAAAACAATTATGCTTTTTGTTTTGATACTTCAAACAAACTAGCCTATACACACACAAAAATTAGTTTCGATCATAAAACGGGGAGTTCCCCATCCTATCTACATATTTCCATCATAGACATAGACTACTAAGAATTGGTAACTGTAACGTACATTTTGTAGTGTTGTATTTCGACAGTAAAACAATGAAAATGTTATTGTAGATACAAGCAAATTATAGTTTAGTATTCACAATTTCATATAAAGGCAATATTAATAAATTTCGTAAAAAAAATATTTTTACAAAAACCGTGTGAGATCGAAAACGTGTAAAACGAATACCGTTTAAAACGGGGATAGTGTATTTACTGTATTTACAATAAAATTTGCATAAGGAATTAATTTTTAACTTTTGTCCACTGTACTACAGTACAAATTGTATAGCAGCCTTCCAAATAATTTGAATTATTATGTAGACTTATTGTTAAATGAATTTTGATTAAAATGTTCTGATTGATTATATGAAAAGCTTTATTCATAAAAATAATACTTTAATAAATATATGGTCTAATTTAACGTATATATAGTTCAATTCCATGAATAATTGTATTACTATTATAGGCAAGAGGCTTTGGATATGCTGTACGATTTGGCAGCAAGGAAGCTCTCTCCGGGGCGACTCATTGGGGTCTTCTATGAAATCTCAGCGTTCTCCAACATCATCAGCCAGACGTTTCAGAAGATTGACTAGGACGGTCAGTCCTGATGATAGCGATGTCGGTAAGGCATCCAATATTTAGAAATATTTATAACCAAAATCTTTTACAGCGGTAAAATTTCTTAACATTTGTACTCATATTATTCGTAATGTTAGTACCATTTTTGGCAATTATGCATTTGATTTTACGTATTTCCTCGTATAATTTATTATATCTATTGGTTTATCGCCTAGGTGCTCATCATAAATATTATCCATCCACCGCAAGTCCGAGCGACACGGACGGATCGTTAAATAGTAGCCCAAATGGATCAGCCATCATGGTTTCCAGAAACACCACATTCACCATGAATTCCAGTCCAGGACAACAGCTTCATCAGCCGAGACAGAACGGAAAACGGGAAAACTTTGAAAAACCTACCAGACCCAATTTTCTGGACTTGTGTCAGGGCAAACCTAGTGCAGGTACCCCGGTTGTCAGTAGAAAACCATGTTTTCAATTCACAGGTGATCATCATTCACATCATATTTATCATAACATTTTTGTTTATTTATTTTAAGTTTTGAGCTAAAACAACTACCTATTATAATTTTGCAGAAAAATAATAGAATATTTAAGGCTGCTATTTTAAAGTAATTTATAACAAATATTGGTTTAATGATATAAAATTCGTTTTCAAATTGACGTAAATAAAACTAGGTATGTACTTTACTTGTCTTTAGATATTTTAAACTTAGCTTGTGATATAAATAATTTTATTGTTTAAATATCAGAGTTAATAGTACTTTTAATTGGTCTCTACTGAACTTTATTATTTTTTATTTCATGAATAATATGAACATCATTGCAAAAGCATGTTTATTGTATAATGCAGCTTTTTAGAAATATCATGCGCATGCGCTCTAGATTCTGCATATATTAATCGTTTGCACACATAGTTGTTACCTACGTGAAATATTTTCATATATATATATATATATATATATATATATATAATTAGTTATAATTGACGATATGCATAAACCATTAAAATACTAAGGACTTCAATATTGAAGTGATAAATTCATTATGTTTCATTTTATGTAAATTTCTTGAATCAAAATAATGGTATGCATATTAATTATCTCAAAAATTTAATATAATATGTAGTGCTCATATATGAGGGTAGTTGATTTCATTGAGTGAGTCACTATCAGTGACGAACTCTTTGAATACAATGAACATTTGTTTATTCCGAAAAAAAATGTGATTGCTTGATAATGATAGTGCATTATCAAGCAATCACATTTTTAAATTTTTAATCATTTTTAATTTAAATAAATAGTAATACATAAATATATTTCTTAACAGCGGCGAATAGTTATGAATTGAATAACCTGGATAATGACGTGCTTGATGCCCCTACTATATATTCCATTGGCGGCGTGAATGGCGAAGGCGCACAATTTCCTACTACGAGTTCCGATGAGTACGCCACTGACCCTGATAGTGTTATATTGGCTGACTCACATGTAAGAAAAATAATTGTTTATATTAAATACCATTTAAATTGTTTAAATAATTATTTTTTTGAAATGCTAATTAGATTATTTTTAAATAAAAAAACGATAATAATTACTTTTCATTTTAAATTTCTAATGATTTTTTTGAACATTCAAATCTTTGTCAAATATCGTTTTAAAAACGAGAATGATTTTCAATATACAAAATTTAATGTACATATAATATTATTTCTCTATAGGAAGACATCAAGAGGTTCAAGCGATTTTGAATTTCATTGAAACAATTTATTTCGATTTCGAATTTGATTTGCGCCAAAATAAGGATCAAATAAAAGTGAATTAAACAAATAAAAAATGCGCTAACATTTGAACGAAGAAAAACACCTATGATTGATGTGAACAGAACTAGAATTTAAAAGAACTAATGGACATTGTGAAATTACTCTTGATATTATATTATCTATAATTTTTTATGTATAAAAATATTTTATTATTGATAAAAATTGAAAAAAAAGTTTAATCTTTTTGTTTTATTCTTTCTGATATGAGCTGCTAAATGATAGCACATACCAAATGTCGAAACGTGTAAATAATCATTTTTTAAGTTTATCAATGTTACAAATCAGCTACTTTAACGTTTAAACCTCATTTATCAAGATTTAGAATTTGATTTCCGTGAAAGTAAGACCGAATAAAAGTGGATTAAACGAGTCAAAAGTGTGCGCAAACATTTCAATAGCACGTAAAAATTAAATTGAATGAATATAATTTGATTGTAAAGGCCACATTTGTTTTTATTATACTCAAATAAAATATAAAACAGAAGATACTTTTTATTTGATTATATTGTAAGTTGTTTTTAATTGTGATTATATTTAAATTTTGCTAGCGTCTTTAAATTGATGTAACAATTTTTAATATTAATTATTGTTCATTTCAATTCTTTAGTATTTTAATTTGGATCTGTTTATTTAATTTAAGGGCCCCGTATCAATGCCTCAAATGTCTACGAAAAACCAGTCAGCACCATTCAACCATGGTCAACCTGCTTATCAATCCGCCCATCCGACCTGCAGCAAAGATGAGAATACTAGTGAAAATCCAACTGATCAGAAGCAAGATGGTACGTTTACTTTTAAATTTTGGATGAGTATAAGAGTAATCTATTAAATTATGAAATTGTTGTGTTTGAACTATAAGGATTAGTTACCAATTTCGTCCAATATCTGATTCGAATGTGTTCTGATATCCTAAAGTATTTGAGCGATGTCTCACAATTTTTCAAATTTAAGGATTTGTTAAATATATTTTGTGAAATAATATTTTGTTAAAATTTTTTCAGGTACTAAAAGTTTGGTGAAATGGAAGGGTGTTATGTTTCCTTCTGAAGACGAAGCATCAGCGAAGGCTAATTCATCTGTAGTTCAAGTCGAAGAAACTTTAGATGGACAGGTAAAATTTTGTATATAATATATAATTTGTTATATATCTGTTTGGTCAACATTATTCCCAATACATTCTTCAACCTTAATGCTTTGCAATTTCAGATTCTTATAGTTGAACTAAACAGAGGATGGAATAGTCGTCTTGGTTTTAGTCTTCAACCTGATCCAATTTCTGGAAAAACCATGATTAGTGCAATTTATGCTGACAGCGTGGCTGCAAGAGACGGTAGATTAAGAGAAGGTGATCGGCTGCTCATGGTAAATATGATGCACAATTTTACTATATAGGACGGTTTTTCAATCAATACATTACACTATATAATGACAATTGCATAATTAAAGTCGGAAATAGTAATATTTTGCTACTATGTGATAATATAGCATTTTCAATAATTATTCAATGATAAATTATTCATTTAAGTTATTACTGATCAGATGCTGTTATTAATACAAAATATTTGCAAATGAAATCAACATTGCGTTTGCAACAAAAATGAGTTTATATATTCATTTTGAAAAATCAAATGATATTCAGAATAAATTTACAAAATAAATGTATAATGAAATCACATAATGTATATTAGGCATAGCATTTTTGTCTAATATAATTTATATTTTGTGATCATATTATATAATTACTTTCGTTTTTTATTTATTATGTGCATATATAATATATGCACATAATGAATACAATATATATATATATATATATATATATATATATATATATATTTAAATATGAAAATTATTTTGTAGGTTAATGATGAATCCATAGAACACATGACTACCACTGAAGTAATAGATTTGCTGAGAATAATTCGCGGATCAATCTGCATTAAAATATTGAGAAAAATTGTAGAGAATTAAAATAACTGGACGATTTTACTAGTGAAAATCAATAATTCTGTGTGGTTTCATGCTATGCACAGAAAATAAATTTTGAAAAAAAATCTATTATTTTTTCAATTAGTGTATAGTATATTAGCATAGAAACCTGTGATAAGTCAATAAGGGTTTTTAATCTATATAAGTGTATTCAAAAAAAAATTACTATTATTGAAAGGTATATTTTATTATAATGTAATTTCTATGAAAATATATTTTTTGGAATTTTTTGAAGTTCCTATTGGCTTAATTGAAACGAAGTTTACATGTGACCTTAATATGTACAGTTACTGTATAGAAATTTGTATTAATTGATTTTTTGTTATATTGGGGTTAAAGTATTGGTTTTATATCTTATTTCATGTAAATTGTTTTTAATTTTTATAATTATCATTGATACATAATTGAATTTACTTTTATCATTCCTACTTATAGTTATTTAAATTATTTTTCAAACATTGAAAAGGACCGTTATGGCTTAGCCATATCAAAATTGTATCAATTCTTATTATTAGTGTAGTATATTATACTTGTGATTAATGAAAGTTTTATAAAGAGTGCAAAAATTGCCTTCAAAAACTTCTACTTATAAATAATGTAATGATTCTAATTAGATTATAGTCATAACACCCTCAAATATATAGACTGCAATATAATATTATATAACTGTTAATTGTTTTCTCTATTAGCATTCTCTACTGGATCTGTATGTGTACATGTATATGTATGTGTAAATATTATATATATATATATATATATATATATATATATATACATTAATGCATACATAAATTGTCCATACATTAGAAAATTTTAGTCCTGTGCAGGGAAGAAAATGCATATATAAAAATTGTTGATTAACCAAAGAATATGATATCTTAAATGCATGTATGATATGTAAAATATATGTATGTTGACTTTTGTGTACATATGTTTTTCCAATGTGATTGTGAATATGTATGTATACATGTATATGTATATGCATTACATGTTCATGTTCTAAATTTTATATGTACTATGTGTATATGCATATATTTCTATATGTGCACATATGAAAAATGGAATAAATGAAGTATAAAAAATATATACTATTATTACAATAAATATTATTATTTATCTTTCTTTTGTAATCCTTCTTTCTCATGGAATATACAATCATTACCAACACCCTCAAAATAATTGTAGTTAAAAAATATACATATATATTCCTGTTTACATTTTAGAAATCAATGATGGATTAAATGTTATTATTTTATCAAACATTTTTTAATATATAATATATCAATACATAATCATAACTAAAATTAAGAAAGATTTACCGATTTTGTTTTAATCTTTGTAGTATGAACTGTTGAGGAATAACACATATGAAATAATCATTCTTTGATTCAATAAATCAGCTGCTTTGTATGTGAACTGTTTCAACGACACAAATTTATGCTATTTTTCAAAGCAAAATTTATCTTTGAAACTTAAAAAATGTAAAATATCAAATTTTACAATATTTTCAAAACATAATTTTAAATCAATTAATAAAACCAGGAATAAAACATAATAAAAATATTTTAAATTGCATGATGAAAATGCATCGTTATAACAGAAACAGATAACATGTTGTTCCATTGTGTGTCCTTCATGTATCTATTAATTTTAAGTATCTGAAAATCGTTTACAAACATTTTTGTTCATTAGAAATATGCAAAAGTAATATGATAATTGCATGTAAGCTTGTATACCATTGAAAGTGGTCATTTACGAACAAGAATTATCGTAGTTATAAATATGAACCATTACTATTGAATAAATTTTGCATTTGAGCTGTTCTCGCTGGAACACAATTTCATTGTTCTGTATTTTTGCTGTTATATTTTTTATTTCATGGCTAATACAAATTGGCATTATTTTGAATCATTTTATACCTAGAAAACCATAAAATTGCTTGTGAGACGAGAAAACAGTCTTTTCTTTTGATACAAATCTTTGCATTAGTAAAAAATTTTAAGCAGATTTAGTATCAGTTTAGAGAAGCCGGATATGACAAAATCTCCGATACAAGTCCGTCCGGATTCACTCCGAAGGAGAAGTTATATCTTCGAATATAACCAGATATAACTCAATCTGCAATTACCCAACTCTACTTCTAACCAGGATTAGAATAGTAATATAGACTTCTAATAATTTCATTAATCGATGTGTGAAAATGCGCCTCACCTAACGAACGAACACGAACCAGAAAGAATGTACATACCAGAATGAAATGCAACGAGCATAGTGTGGACACCATAAGGAAACAACTAACGAACACAAACGAACATAGCGAGCAATGTTCCTCAACTTATCGGCACACCAAAAAAAATTGTTCGTTCATGTTCAAATTTAGACAAAATTTCTGTATTAGTTTATGTTGTGCACGGTACATCCTCGAACAAAGAAGATTCAAGCCCTCCCTGCTTTGAGGCGTTTGTTCAAGTTTGTTTGGAATGATTTGCCTTCGTTCGTGATCGTGTTTGTTTTCTTCTTTTATTTCTATATGTTCGTATGTGTTCGTTCATAAGGTGTGGACGTACCTTTAGGAGGCGTCACCTTAACGAAATGCAACGGTGACAAACTGACAAATGAGGGCAAGTGAAGTTAACTTCATATTGTTGCGGTGCAAGTTGTCATGACACCGGCAGTACTTTGAATCAACAGTACCTGTCAAAATTGCGATCATACCAGTCTGTCATGATTGCTTGAATTGGGAAACGCCGTCAGCTCAGAGCCGTCAGATTCGGGGATTGTAAATTGCGTGTTTGTGCTGTGTCGCTCGTTTTAGTAAATAAAATCAGTTGCCACAAACGATACCTTGATGCCGTTCCCTATTCGCGACAGGCATTCTAATTTCAAAATGAGCGAATCCGATTATTGTGATGGAATTTCTGTCGTCGATGTGTACGACATAGCATCCGATATTGGAAAAGAATGTGAAAAAATAATTGACAATTATGGTGCAGACGCTGTTACTGGTCTCATGCCGAAAGTTATCAATACTTTAGAGCTATTAGAAGCATTGGCCACTCGAAACGAACGTGAAAATACCACACTTCAAGAACTGACGTGCAAAATTTCCCAACTGGAAAATGAAAAGCTGGAAAAAGCCGAGTATAGGCAGCGGTTTGAAAAGGTCTGTTTCTAAATAGAAATGCAGGTTTTTAATACAAATTTAAAATCATTCTTCAACTAATATATCAAATTAAGTATGGCACTGTCATTTAAATGTCAACCTCTGGCATTAATTATATTCGTAACCTATGAACTTTGAATGTTTTTGTGTTGAAAATATTCTAAATTGCTGTTGGATTCAAAAAAACATTTTTGTCGTCTTTAGCATATTACCATCGAGATTTAAATATCAAAAATGTTTTTTTGTTGCTTTCAAATGCTTACAATTCAATTATCTTTTACAATTTATGCTATATACATATTTAAAAATGCTTTAGAAATTCTCTTCTCTAATCACATACTCATTGTTTTTGTTTTACTAAATACAAAATCTCAACTATTTCTCTGATTAAAATTAATGGCACTTAAAATTAATATTTATTATGAAAGCAAACACTAATGCATGTTTCATATTATGGTATTTATTATTGATGTATGATCGAAGTAAATGTTTAGAATTACTTTAATTCTTAACTTTTCAATTTTTCAAATAAATTTTATTTTGAAATAACTAAAATTTATTTAACTTACTTAGATTGAGCTATGATTGATTTAAATACTATTTTATGTAAACTTATTTACTTATGTTTTATTCGAATTACAATCTTGTTAACGTCGAATTAAGTATTTTGTTTAGTTATGTGAAATATTTAATTTTACTTATAATTTTTAAATGCATATAATTGAGTATCAGTAGTATTTCACATTATTGCACATGTAGATCTTTGGAACATTTCCCATGAAATAGAAAGTGTGAGAATTGGCTTATTATTACTTAACACTATTCACGCATAATTATTTTTACTTGCTAGTTAATAAGTATTCTATTTTGATACATTTTAGTTATTGGATTATTACTTTTTATGTATAAATTAATTGGTTTCAATTCTATTTTTGATTTTTTATCAACTTCAAGTTAAACCTAATAAATACAGCATAATGTTAAACAAATTCAAATATTGTTTTGTTCTCAAAACTAGTGCTGTATTTGTAATTACCATTACATTTTATAAAATGCTGTTATATAATTCAATAAATATTAATTATTCACTCAGTTGATTGCAAATGCTTTTGGTACATTAGCTAAATATTTAGAATACTTTCTTGCATAAGTTACATATAAATAATTTTAAAACAGATATTATTTTATGACAGTCCCTCTTCAAATATATTTTTATAAATAAATATGAAATAAAATAATTTATTATTTTTTATTTTTTTACTTTAATTATTATATTTTATTATTATTTTTATTAGTTTGTTTTGAATATTTCAAAATATTTATATAGTGCCTTCTGCAGGAACTGGAAGCTATAGAAGAACAATGGCGTGGGGAATCTCAAGAACTCGTTTCTGTTGTAAATCGTTTACAAGAGGAAAATAAACGCCTTTCACAAGCTAAGGGTGAGTGACTGCAAAATGAATGGCAGACATTTTTTTTGCTAATGTTCTTATATAATTACTCTGCAAAACATGCCATAAGTTGATTCCTAAAAAATAATAAGACTGAACATATAGTTTTTAATACAGAACATAATTATAATGTTATTTGTATCTGTTATTACATATAAATTGTACAACAATTTAAATATCTCTTAATTGTGATTTTAATAAATAATAGCGTTTGTTATATTGTTAGCTGGTGCTGAAGTAAAGGAACAAACAGCTGAAACATCCTCGGCAGATGGGCAAATGTTGCAAAGATTGAGAAATTTAGTTGATAAACAACGTGATGAATTAAGAAAGAAAGATAACGAACTACAGAAACAAGCAACAGATATAGAAAATGTGA